TTTTACAATATTTTTTTTTTGCTTTGCCACTTATTATTGTTGTTAATTTTTCTTTAACATATTAACTGGTCATTCACAGATGCAAGCAGTTTGATATTGCTGTTATTGGTATTTCTACGTTACTTAAATCCTATCGAGTGACTCGTTTATTTATGCTTTTATGAGCATACATTTATCGCTTTATTTTTCTTATTTGTATGCATTTCATAAACTTGTAATAGCAACTAAATACTTTTGTGTACTTTACGAGCACTCACAACTACTCCACTCCTCTTTCCTCCACTTTTTTTTGTTATTTTTTTTTCTGCACGATTGCATTAATAAAAAATAATTGAAATTAAACTCGCCGCACAAGCTCATATCAAAAGCAGCTGTCGACATGGGTAAAATATTTATGCACAATAAAAGCAAGAAATGTATGAAAGATTAACGGTGAAAAGGGCTGCGCAGTACTTTTAGTGCACTTTCTTTTCCACTTTGAATAAAGAAATGTAGTAATTATAATAATTGCTGCTTTAATGGCATTTATTGGTCAGTAAGTTGATATAATATAAAAAGACTTAAGATAAATAGAGATAATATCTATTGCCGCGCATATGAATATGTGTGTAGTGGGCAAGTGCACTAGGGTGTGACCTTTTTTGTTGGCAACAAATTTTTGAGAAAAATAATTAATTTTTGTTTTTCATTTTTATATAAAGGTGAAGTTCGGTATTTCTAAAATGAGGTTCAACTGTTCTCCCTACTGCTAACACCCTCGTATGGCATATACCATATTATTGTCCATGTAGTAGCGCAGTCTTTGAGATATCGATCTGAAATTTTGCATACGTTCTCTTCTTTGCAAGAAGCTGCTCATTTGACGAAACCGCCGATATCCGTTTATTATAGGATATAGCTGCAATACAAACTGACCGATCAAAATCAAGTTCTTGTATTGAAAACTTCTTTATTTGACAAGGTATCTTCACGAAGTTTTCCACGCATTAGTATCCAAAACAGCGCTTTAATCTCTGAACAAATTGTTCAGATCGGACCACTATAGCATATGGCTGCTATACAAACTGACATTTCAAAATTAAGTTAAAAAATCTGTTTATACCCTTCTATGCTATAATAAATACAGCTGTGAAGGGTATTATAGCTTCGGTGCGGCCGCAGTTTCTTAATAAGCACACCACCCTAATATTCAAGCACATGTACAACCAGAAACAGTACAATTTAGTGAAATAATTGAAATATTAGAAAACCTTTTCTACTCTAATTTCTGATTTTCCACTTTTTGCCGTTCGAACAATGCATTTTGTTTTCAAAAACAACAAAAAAAAACAATAATATGGTATATGTAAAGATATTATCTGCCTCAAGAAACTCAACAACTTTTGCTTTCATTTAGCCCATATCTTGAATGCATGCTTTACAAGCTAGCAGTATGCTTGTGGATATATATATTGTATATACATATATACGTGTATGTATGTGTAGTTGTGTGCATGTGCATGAGCGCTTAGTACGTCTTCCATTCCCCTAAGCGTATCCGCTTACGGCTTACAAAGCTTGGTAGTATTACTGATAGTGCTCTTATTGTTTTTGTTGTTCTTTGCTTGCGCTCACATGCATGACCGGCAAGAAATGAAATGAAATTGCACACGAGTAATTCAGTGGAAAAGTGAAAATGAAAGTGATCAACTAGCCGGGCAGTCAGCCGACCAGTCAAGTAGCCAAGCGGCCAGTTAACCGAGCGCATGCTGCACATACATACATACATATACAATATATACTATTTTCAAGCTGCGCTTTGAAGCATTTTAATATTGCAGTTGTTTTTATTGTCGACTTACTACAAGTTGTTGTCTCGTTACAATTCAATGACCACAGACATTACGGTGATTAAGATATGCCGATAGGTGTGTATGTATGTGTGTGTGGGCACTGCATGCCTTTCTCGGCTGCGCATCCATAAGTTACAAAGAGCAGCACTGGCTTCGAAAAATCATTATCTTTACATATATATAATATATATATATATGTGTATATATTGATCCAGCGATATATGATATGTATGTTCGTATAAGTTAAACTGCAATTGCAATCGCCATACAGTTATCATCATCTGCATCTTAGACACGCTAACAATCTGCATCTCAGCAACATCATTAACAACAACAACACCAATGTGCCGCTAAGAGTATTGATAGTACTGACGTTATTAGCCTTGGTTGCACATAAATCCATCAACACTTCAACAGTTTTTTGCACTTTTCCGTTTTCAATCATTTGCCTATTGTTCGCGTTTTGTTGGAGTTTTCTAGCTGTTTTTAATTAAATTTAAATTATGTTGGAAAATTATTGCAAATATATGCAAATTTGCGAGTTGAAGCTTATAAATTGTGGTTAATATAAACAAGTTGAAGTTTGCGATTAATTAAAATAAAGTTTATTCACTTTCCACAGAGCAGAGAAAATAATCAGAACGATCGGTTTGATGAACTTTTTCAATGGCGAGGTCATTGCTGCTGCATGTTTAATAAAAATGCTATAATAATTTTAATTTATTAGCTATAATAATTTTAATAATGATGTAAAAAAAATAATGACAAGAAAAAACGTTAGCTTCGGTTTTACCGAAGCCATAATAGCCTTCACAAACTAACAAGTATTTGTATGGCAACTATATGCTATAATAAGCCGATCTGAGTAATATATTCGGAGACTATAGCGCTGCCTTGAGTAATGCTCTGTGCAGAATTTCGTAAAGATATCTTGTCAAATGAAAAAGTTTTCCATATAAGGACTTCATTTTGATTATTAAGTTTGTATGGCAGCTATATGCTATAGTGGTGCGATATCCGCAGTTCCGATATAGGTATAAGCAGTTTTTTGTAGAGAAAAGGACGTGAGCAAAATTTGAGATCGATATCTCGAAAACTAATGGTCTAGTTACAGACGGGCATGGCAAAATCGACTCAGCTCGTCTCCGACGTTTCCTTCTGGGTGTTACAAACTTCATTGTAAACTTGATTTACTTTATTCAGTGCATAATAATATTAATAAAGTAGAAGTAATGGTAGTAATATAAAAAATTAACAAGAGAGAAAAATGTTGACACAGTCGAAAGCAGGACATTGGACTAGACGTCGAACCAAGATTTGAAAAGCATACCAAGATTTCTCTCAACTTTAACTTAAGAGTCAAATAATCAATCGAGCAATTGGTAGTCATTCAATCTATTAGTCAGTCGATCATTCAAAATATCGATATCGAGCAATCAGTTGAGTAATTATTTATTGACTTAATAGATTAACCAGTTAATAAATTAATTAATCAAACAATCGCTAATAATTACTTAATCAATTAATAAATCAAACAAGTAATCAATAAAATTTAGATCAATCAATTAATCAAACAATGCGTTATTTAATCAATTCATCAATCGATTAATCAGTCAAATGTTCTAAATTAGACATTATACCAATTAATCGGTAGATTAATCAATTAATATATAATGATTATATATGATATAACCATGATATAACCATGAATCTATCTATCTAACTAACTATCAATCAATCAATAATCAAACAGTCGGCTAATCAATTAGTGATTTAACCAGGTAATCAAATAATCCATAAATCAATGTAAGCTATCAATAAACAAATAGACCAAACAGTTCGTTATTTAATTAATCAATAAGTCAGTTAAATTAGACATTCTATCAATTAATCAGTCGATCAATCAATCAATAATTCCATATGATAATCTATGAATATATCTGTGGCAACATCATACACTACCGACAGGCTACAACTATGTTGTACTATGTTGCCGACCGTCAAAACGCACAAGACTACCGACCGGCAACCCATTACTACAATTTTATATTAAAGTCATAAGCAACCGCATTCTCCTTCATCCTGCAATTCTTCCCTTCTTCTCACGGACGCCAAACTGACAAGACGTGCCAGCAGGATCACCCGCTTCAAACATTATCAACGCAACCATTAAAACTGGTGACCCCGACGTGATCAAAATGGCACAACAAGGTGAAAATAACGCGCAAACATCGTCACCCCCGAACGTTCGACAGGCAGTGCAACCGCAAAGCATTTTGCCTAGATCATCAATCGAGGTGCATCAGCCTGATTTCCACGTGGACGCAGCTATGGTACCACGCATAAGCCCACCCAATATAAACGAAACAAACATCGAGTCGTATTTTTTGTCATTGGAGTTCTGGTTCGCAGCTACCGGTGTGACACACGACACCAGGAAATACAACCTGGTCATGGCACAAGTTCCTCCAAGCAAGCTAATGGAGTTAAGGGCAGTCATCGATTCAGCTAATCTATGCATTCCAGAAGAATCCTGAAAAATGCTCGAGTCGTCAAGCTCGCCAACTTGATTACATTTCTCAAATAACCACAGATATTCGCCACGTAGAGGGGAAAGCCAATGTAACAGCTGACATGCTTTCAAGAATAGCACAAATTCACGCAAACAGCATAGACTACTCCAAACTTGCCGAAGACCAGCAAGTCGATCAAGAGCTCAAATTCCTTCGCCAAAACAATAGTAATTCATCTCTTCAGCTAAAATTATTCACAATACCCGGATGCGACAAACAAATAATCTGCGACTCGTCAACTGGCAACATTAGACCATTCATTACAAAGAAGTTTCGTTCTGAGGTGTTACGAACAACTCATGGGCTATGCCATCCAGGTACACGTGCTACAGCCAAACTCCTAACCAGCAGATTCGTCTGGCCTGGAATCCAAAAAGACAGTGTAGCTTTCGCAAGAGCATGCGAGCAATGCCAAAAAGCTAAAATAACTCGACACACATTTACGCCTCTTAAACGCTACGAATCTGGTGACACGCGATTCGATCATATTAACATCGACGTCGTAGGTCCCTTTCCTTTACACGCTGGTAACCGCTACTGTCTCACAATCATTGAACGTTTCTCAAGATGGCCAGAGGCGATTCCCATACCCGACATGACAGCGCCAACCATCGCAAAAGCTTTAATCGTTAATTGGATTGCAAGATTCGGAGTTCCAGCTGTCATTACATCAGATCGCGGTCGTCAATTCACATCCACCCTATTTACAGAGCTGGCAAGGTCGCTCGGCATAACGCATCTGAAGACAACATCGTATCATCCACAGGCAAACGGAATAGTAGAAAGATGGCATCGAACCTTAAAATCATCCATTTTATGCATCAACTCAGAACGTTGGACCGACTTCCTGCCTACTATACTCTTAGGCTTACGAACCGTCTACAAGCAAGACTTAGGAGCATCACCGGCCGAACTAATTTACGGTACGACATTGCGAATTCCTTCAGAATTTTTCACACACGACAGCCGACTCAAACCCCAAACAGAGTTCGTTACCCAACTCCGAGACGTAATGAACACAATCAGACCATCGAAGACAGCATGGCATGGACAGAGGAAAGTATTTGTGCATCCCGACCTTGCGACTTGCCCAAATGTCTTCGTAAGAAACGATTCAGTTCGTCCATCACTTTCGAAACCTTACGAAGGACCGTACACAGTTTTATCACGCGCGGAAAAATATTACACAATCGCAATAAAAGGCAAACCAGAAAACATTTCCATAGACCGATTAAAACCAGCATACCTCCCGTACGAGGATTTACCGCCACCGACCCGTCAAACCATATCAACTGGGCAAGAACGTCGTAATGTAACCTTCGTTTCACAGGACTTATGATCATAAGCGATCGCCCAGTCTGAAGGGGAATACTGTGGCAACATCATACACTACCGACAGGCTACAACTATGTTGTACTATGTTGCCGACCGTCAAAACGCACAACACTACCGACCGGCAACCCTTTACTACAATTTTATATTAAAGTCATAAGCAACCCCATTCTCCTTCATCCTGCAATTCTTCCCTTCTTCTCACGGACGCCAAACTGACAAGACGTGCCAGCAGGATCACCCGCTTCAAACATTATCAACGCAACCATTAAATATCTATCTAACTAGCTATCAATCCTTAATAATCAATCAGCCGACTAATTAACAAATGATTCAATCACTTAATCTAATCTGTCAATATATCTGTATATCAAAAATTTCATATAATCATTTAATAATTCAATTAGTCGAATTCAATTAATCAGTTGAATAATCAATTAGTAATTCAATGAATTAACCAGTCTATGAATTAATTAATCAAGCAGTCGCTCCATCAACTAATCAAACAATAAATCTTGACATCATTTAATCAGTGTATCAGTATATCAATCAATCAATCATCCTATGAATATAACGATCAATCAATTAATAATCAATCAGTTGACTAATCTATTAATGATTCAACAAATAAATCAAACAGTGTATCAATCACTGTATCTATCTATATATCAAACAACAAATCAATATATCTTTATATCAATAATTTCAAATAATTATGAAATAATTCAATAAGTCGTAATAAATTAATCACTTAATCGATTAATCAATCCAACAGTTCTAGTTGTTTTATGTGTACTGCAGAGCATTTCTCAGCCGAATATGGGAATTTCTAAACCTGAGAATGAAAACTTCGGTATGGTGCAAGAAAGTCTTTCATAAGTCACTTGAGAATGGTACTAACAAGTGGCTTCTAAAAAGAGATGTTGAAATTTAAAAAACTCTTTCATTCATTCTTTCGTTAAAACTTATTTCTTGTTTACTTCATAATAGATATATGGTAGTTATCAAAGGAGCGACGTATTTTAAATTCCTTTGTAAGTATTATTAAGAAGCTGTCAAAGCTTTAAAAATGTCATAACTCATGGTCATAGTCGAAACAAAGTTTATTTAATACCTCACAAGTAAGTATATGTAAGGTGTTACATAAAGTCTGCAAGCATCTAGTCCGTAGTTGTTCGAATTCTTTCGTTCATACCTTGCCAGCAATGAACCTGAACTTCCGAAAGCCGCAAACTGCCTTTTACCGCAAATTGTACCGTAAGCGTAACAATTACATTTTAAATGGTACTACGCAAACGAGTAGCAACAACAGCAACACAAACTTTTCATTATAAAAGTTATCTCGGAATGCGGATATTAAAAATTAACTCGTGAAATTTTCAAATTCAAAACACTTCGGATCATTAAATGCCAATAATAAATGAGTCGACATTGAAAAAATCCAAGATAAACCGAGGAATTGAGGGTAAAGCAGCATACTGCAAATGAAATTAAAAGAACAATTAGTATCGGGTCGCGTATTAAAACATGGCAATAAGGAAATTCGATTTTATCAATATGAAGTGCAAAAGCTAAAAATCATAAACTTCAGCGTGCTTGCGAACGACTGTGAGCATACAAATTAAATAATAAACATATGTATGTGCGCTCTTATGCATACTAGTTGGTACATATGTGTATATATAGTGGCGGATGATATTGCCACAAGGTACCGCTATGCATGAAAATATCAAATTGTAGCCCAGATCCGCAATCCGATCGGTTTTGTGCGCAGACGCATATAATTTATAAAATCACCGACTTGCCAATTACTGATTATGGCCACAACAACAATAATAATAGCAAATAATTTAGTTACAGCACTGTATACACAATGCTACAAACAAAATTATTTCAGTTTCATTTTCACCGCAACCAATCCTTGACGAATTGGTGGGCGGCAGCTTTGAAATCGCTAGGAAATCAAGCATATACTCTAATATTACGCGTTTGATTGCTAATGTACATGAAATAGCGAGCAATTTTAACTTCCTAGATTAAATTTAGCTTGACTAGACGCAAGTGGCCTAATTCAATTATTTGTGTTGCTTTTAATTAAAGAACAAAACAGGCAGTATTTACTAAGCATACACACGTTTATTATAAAATTATAAAATTCTTTGCATGCGCCCGGCGTGAGAACGTGCAGAGCGTGTCAATAAAACTAGTGGTTATGCATAAGAAATTATCCACAATTAATTCTAATTACATTCTTTCGATTCTGTTTTGCTTGCAGGCCCAACAATGACCCGACAACAACAAACGTTTAACACTCCAACCGGCGCGCTTATCGCTTGCTTTTGTGTATGCTTGTTTGCGCATGCGCAGGCAGCTGAAAAATGGTCACGTCAATTGGAACCGACTTCACCCGGCGTCTCCGATTCTTTTGACTGGGTGCCACTCGCGCAACCCGTGGATAGCGCGACTGCTAAGGATCGCTCATCGAATGGGCGTGTGCTCACCTACTCGCAGGCTTTTCCACCAAATGGCCGCTTTGGTGATTTGCCAAAGCCGCATAATCCACCAGCGTCGCAACAGCAGTCATTCGATTTTCCATATCAATTTCAGCGCTTCGTGAATCAGCCACATGCGCGTCCACAACTCGGTTCGCCTTTCGGCGCGCCACCGCTAAAGGCATCCGCACTACAAGCTGGCGAACCAACTTCACAGTCTTTCTTCAAATTTGAAATGCCTTTCCGTCCAGATGGTGGTAATCGTGCGGCCGGTGCCACAGGACCAAGTTCACTGCAGACCGGCTATCAGATACAACACACCTTTGGTGGTGGTGGCGCACAAGCTACACTCTTCAGTTCACCATTATACAACCAGCAACCGGTCTTCCCACCAGAATTCCACCCAATACCACAGAAACCCATTCAGCAACCTTTGCAAAAACCATTGCCACAACAGAATTACATCGAAGACAGCTTCCCAGCTAAGAATATTTATCGTGAGTCTAAACCGAATCCAACACAGCAATCTTTGCAAAGCGTAACACCGCAAGTATTCCCTGCCGAACCACAAGTGGAGCAATTTTACGATTTAAATAAACCGCAATCCGACTACAATGCACAAATACCTTCGTACCAACAACCGGAAAGCTTACCAACTGCGCCCTTCCAGCATAGCGCGCCGACTGCACCCGCCTTGACGCCTAACAACAATGCTGGCAATCCACAAGATGTACAGTTGTTGTATGTGCCATATGACACCCTCTATAATCAGCAAAAACCCGAGTCGCAAGCTTTCGAAGTGAACAAATATAATGTGAATCCCTCATTGCCCACGGTTAATCCATACCAAATCAATCAGTTTTACACGCAAGACTCGCTCGGTTCGCTGGATCAACAGAACTATTTTACATCAACACCCAGTACGAGCACGAGGCGCCCCAAGACCACCACTCTCAAACCAAAAACTATTTTCCAGAATTATGTTAATCCTCAACAGCAATTAACAACGCCACGTCCGAAACCGAAGGCACATCAGCCACCGCTTGCCATGTTCTTGGTACGTAACTCAGCGCGCCCCACACAAGCGGATGTTGTCGCAGCGCTACGTCATTCCAACACAATCGCTGTTGTGGATGCACCCACCAAGAAGATACCAGAGATATTTGTCGGTCCAGCTGGTATGTCGACACCGGAAGGTTATGCGAAGTTTGAGCTACCCTATTTGTCGCAACTCGCACAAACTCGTGAACTACGTGAGATACCTTTCTTTGTAGCACCGCTTAGTTACCGCACACCAAGCGGTTTCAATAAGATACTTTTACCTGAGCCACATGTTGGCTCAATTGTCATTAATATCGCTAAAAGCAACAGCGGTACACAAGAAATTGTGAGCCAGCCGGCTAAGCCAAGTGTAGTTTATAGCCAAAACGACATTAATCAGTATCAGCCACCACAGCCCACACAGCGTGTGCGTCCACAACGTGTAAAGCAGCCATCGACCACCAAGGACTACTATCCAGCATTGAATGAGCCTGTACAGAAGCAACGCGATCAATTTGAAGTCACGACTCAACGTGCCACACTGGCGCCTACGCGAGGCAACAAATTTAACTACTTCTACGACCAAGATGCTATACGCGAGGTTAACTCACCTAAGGTCACCAAACTTGATCGCCCAAAGAAGAAACGTCCACAGCACATAGTCCAACAACAACAACAACAACCAATTGAACAACCTGCATTCACACAAACCATTAACAATCCATATGCTCAATTCCAGCCAGCACCTAACCAAATAATCAATGATGACATCTATAAAATTCAGCCCAACCGCCCAGCGCCTAGTACTTCCACTTCGACAAGCACCACTACCACCACAACCAGCACAACTTCAACGACTGCTGCACCCGCGCATACTTTCTTCACTTACAATCCCAATGGACAGGTCGATTATCAGAACGCTAACGGTCCTCTCTATTCTTTTGGTACCATACCAAAAGAACCAGTTGAGGAGCAGTTACCACGTTACACCACACGTCCACCCACAAGCACTACGCCGGAGGAAGAGTATCGCATGAAACAGTATTTCCGTCAACAAGATGCTTTCCGCAATCGTCCACAATTAGTAAATCCGACGAATCCGCCTTTCGAGCAAGTACAATATACGCCTGTTGATGTAGACTATGAACGAGATGTCAATGTACCATCCACCACTCATAAGACTACATCGACAACCAAACAACGTATTACGTTCTATTCACCGTCACAATCAGCGATCTCGGGACCTGAAGATGCATACAATATAGTCTCTCCACAACGGCCGGATGTCTTAGAATTGCAGCGTGAAAAAGATGTACAGACTGAATTGAAACCGCATCGTCAGCAAGTATCTGATCAACGTCCTGCATACAATCAAAACGAGATTCCCGACAGCACCATTGAATATGAGCCCAATCCGTATCATGTACCGTCTGAATTACCACCACTCACACCAAATCTACCAGGACTAGTAAAT